ATCAAAATATCATTGTCCGTTTGTTTACTATTTTGGAGTCACACATTAATAGTGGTTTTTTATATCTATAATTTACTTTCTGAAGTAATTCTACAACGGAGATACATCTAAATAATATAAGACGTGTGAATTATGGACACTTCTCATCCATTTTAGAAAGGAATTTTAGATAAAAATATTGTTTTCTCTAACAGTAACAAGATAAATATGTTTACATCTTGTCTTTTTCTTATCTAAAAGAATGTGGAGGCTATTTATTAATCAATGTTTTGGTTTCTGTTATGTTAAAAAATTACTCATACAAGTCAATTGTTTTTGATTATATAATTATAATCATGATTTTTACATTAAAATTATAACTATGATTTTAATACGTATTTAATTATACTTTTACTTTTAGTTTTCATGAAAATTTTCCAGTATTTCTTTTATATAATTATAATAGCTAAAAATTAATCAAAGAGTTGCTTTCATAATTATTTTTATGCATTTATTTTTTATATTTCTAATATAAATTTCAGTAATATATTTTAATAAATTTTATTATAATAATTCATTTTTTATATTCCATTTTTTATTATATAAAAAAATGACAAGCGCACATATATTTCAACTTATAAAAAAAATGCTGAATTGAGTGAGAACTTCACCATTTTTTTACAATTTGAAGTTTGTTACTTTAATTCTTTCATTTTATAATGATTAGTCTTAAACTTATTGCTTTAATATATAGCCCACCCTTTCAAAAACATGTTTATATTTTTCATTTTAAAATTTGTTTTTGTAAGATATAGGTACGTGACCCCGAGCAATTTTCAGTATTCTTTCTTTAATTATTAATGGATTAAATATTAATAATTAAATAATTAAAGCTAATTAGTTTTATCTTTAAACTATTTTACTAAACATTAAACAAGAAAGATTAAAACTAAAAATATTTAAATAAATATATTTTACTTTTTGATATTTTGAGGCATTACTTATAAGAAAACTTAATGAAGCCTATCTATAAAGTAAATGTCTGCTGAAATGAGTATATAAAAACATTAACAATGATATATTTTAGATGTGTAGCATGATCATGTCATTAATCCGCTTGAAATGAAGAAAGTAAAAACAAATAACGTTTAAAAAAAATAAGAAAAAAAAAAAAATATAGGATAGAAGTATTATTTCATTCTTATTTTATTTCGAAAAATATGATAAATACTGTGAAATCAAGAAATTACATTTTTATATTCTTTTTAACATTTATGAAAATATACTGTACAAGGAAAACAATATATTTATTTTTTAAACCATTAAAAGGGTTAGGAAAACATAGGAATTATTTCCATAATATTTTTTAAAAATAATTGTGTAATTTTATAACAAAAATATTTTGTAAATGCAATATTATTAAAATGGTTAAATAAATTTTACATTGGATTTATTTTTGCAATGCGGGCCATTTTAAGCAACCACCACCTCCTGTGCCACCTCGAGGAAGCAAGTCACGCCATCACCTCCGGGACCACCATCTCCGAGACCACCACCAACTCCCAACAATCTTTGCAGCGATAAGGAATCTTATGTTTCGAATTTTATTATCCTCAGCGGCGAACACACCCACGGCGGCGTACGCGACACAGGTTCGTCTTTTCTTTGACTTCTTTTCTAAGCTTCTTCTTCCTGTAACCCTACTTACACTGCCTCCTAATCTCCCGCTCTGTGTCTCTCACGCACCAGACATCAGTTAGCACCAAAACTCACCAACCGAACACAGAAAGCAAAATCGACGAAAAGGATCGGCGATCTAGAGCGACGAGGTCTTTGAGGCGGGCTATTGGCCATTGATTTAGAGGAGAAGGCGCGAACAGGAGGACGAGAATCCGGCGCGTGAGCTACACCTATGACGGTTTCGGCAACAGGGGGGCTAGCCGTTTTTGACACCCGTTATATTGGGTTTGGTACAACAGAAGTTATTTTTTTAATCAAAGTGCCAGCCAATTTCTTCTATATCATCTTACGAGTTACATAATTTGGAATTAACTTTCTTATTTTAAAATTTTGAATTTTACAATTTAAAGAATATAAAATTAATTTTTTAAAATTAATTAATCCAGAATTAATTTTTTAAAATTAATTAATCCAGAATTAATTTTTATCACTTGTTGAATGTGAAAGTTTATTTTCTTTGGTTAATCAGAAAGGTGAATGCGTCCTATAATTTCTTATGGCAAGAAGTTTAACAGCACAAGTGCGTCTACCACTTCATAATAAACCAAACGGGTATTTTAAAAAAATGGGGGTGTAAAAAGGAAAAAGGGAGGTCCAGATTGGCAACAGTTAGTTTGGTATTTTACTCCCAGTGAGGATGGCGGGTTTCCTCGTTTAGAAGGCGGATCATACGGGCCTATCAGTCCGCTGTGACAGATTTTTCTGAAAAATCCATTTCTCAGAAAGCGGTTTCTGTCATCTTATTCGCTTTTGCTGCTGTTTGTTGCTTCCGTTGCTCACCTTTTTTCTTCTTCTTTCAAATCTTCATTTTATTATCTTATGACCTTATTATTCTTTCTGTTCGGATTTACATTGTTCTTGACTTCAAAAGGTTCGTGGACTTTTGCACCAACTTTTACTTATTAGGTCATTATTCTTCCAAAATTTCGCGCTTCGCGTTCTCATCGGTCAGTTCCTTCTTCACATTCTACGTTTTCTGATGTTTTTTTGTGTGTGTGTGTGTGTGTGTGAATATTATGTTGCATGTGTTGTCTGTTTAGTTCATATGTGTTGGATGGTTATTTTTTTTTTGTTTCGTAAGTTCACCACTTTTCTTAGTGGATTTCGTAGAAGATGGTTGAACGTTTTATGTGCCTCTTGCGCTGTTATATTCTTTCAGTGCGGGTTTGATTTGGTTGTAGGGGACATGTTTTGGGTAATTACTTATTAATGGTTGGGTGGTTCCAAATTTTATTGCCGAGTCTTGGAGAGTATTCTTATTTTGCTGTGAAGGCTAAACATAAAGTCTTAGACTTCTTCACGCATTAGCTGCACCAGTTGTTGCCGAAATATGGGGTTATGCTCCCTCTCCTCTCTCCAGTAATTAGTTCTTCTGAGGCAACCTAGGTCTTAGTTGCATAACTTCCTGCTCATTTTTTTTTCTTTAACGGTATGCTATGTCCCCTTCATCTTAATTTGTTACTTTGCGCGTGGCTGGTTTCATTTATAGTTACCTTCTTTAATTATGGTCTACTACCTCTTTTGGTTTCAGATTTCGCTGCACTTCCAAAAGAGTTGGTTGTGCAGTTCTTGTTTTCAGAAACCATCTTTAAGGTTCTGTCGGCGTTTGAGTTCTGTAATGGCCAGTGATTTTTCTGTCATCTCCAATGGAGACAGCAATGGCAATGTCAATCCACAACCTAATCAAAGGACTTACCAAGTGGTAGTGGCTGCCACCCAAGATTGGGGCATTGGCAAGGATGGGAAGTTACCCTGGAGGTTGCCTACTGATCTCAAATTTTTTAAGGAGATCACTGAGAAAACATCTGATCCTGGAAAGAAGAATGCCATTGTAATGGGAAGGAAAACATGGGAGAGTATCCCTCTTCAGTACAGGCCTCTTTCTGGTCGCCTTAACGTTGTTCTTACTCGCTCAGGCAGCTTTGATATTGCAACGGCAGAGAATGTTGTTATATGTGGAAGTATTAATTCTGCACTGGAACTGTTAGCTTCTTCTCCTTACTCTCTGTCAATTGAGAAAGTATTTGTTATTGGAGGTGGTCAAATATTTAGGTACTTCTTTGTTTTAAAATGTACTTTTCTTCATATGCTCTGCTCTTTCCTTTTCATGTGAAGCTCTGTTATAGCTGATAATTACCATGTACAGAGAGGCTCTCAATGCACCTGGATGTGAAGCTATCCACTTAACAGAAATTCAGTCAAACATTGAGTGCGACACTTTTATGCCTTCAGTTGACTTCACTATATTTCGGCCATGGTACTCATCCTTTCCTAAGATGGAAAATAACATACGCCATTCTTTCATCAGTTACGTGCGTGTAAGGAGTTCTCCTGTTGTGTCCCTGAATCAGGATATTGATCCATTTATTGATAATAATTCTGATTCCATAAAATTTGAGGTCAAGGATTTTTCTTTTCTTCCTAAAATGATTTTTGAGAGACATGAGGAGAATATGTATCTTAAGCTGGTTCAAGACATCATTTCTGAAGGTACAATAAAGGGTGATAGGACAGGGACTGGTACCTTGTCAAAATTTGGTAGCCAGGTAACGTTTTTATTGGTATATTGAGGGTTGTTGTAGTTTATATGCTGACTTTGTCTTTTTCTACAGATGAGATTCAATTTGCGCAGAAGCTTTCCTCTGCTAACAACTAAGGCATGTGGTAGAGATTATGGTTTAAGGCACATTTGATTTACTGTGTAAAAGAATCTGTTTTTCGTGTGAACTGTTTTCTTTTTCACTTTGGTTTGATTATTATATTGTGTATACTAATTTGGATGTTTTCTTTGGAAGGAGAATATCCAGTTATAAATTTTGATAGAAAATTTGACATGATTTCTTCAATTGATTGTAGAAAGTATTTTGGCGAGGGGTTGTTGAAGAGCTTCTTTGGTTTATCAGTGGCTCAACAAATGCCAAGGTAAGAATATCTTCTGCCAATATTGTCCATACGCACATGAATCCTCACCTATCCTTAGTTGGTCACAAATTAGCTGATATTAGCCAACTATTGGGGAACATGAAGTTGGTGTATCCTATAACATTTGAGCTTGGATTTGAATAATAGATGTAATCATGTGGAAAGCTCAGGTGCTTCTTAGCTAACTCATTCCTTGTATTATTTATTTCTATAATATATTGAACTTATAAATATGATTGCATTCTTTTTTTAGTGTTGAAAATTTGAAAACAATATTCATAGATACAGAGTACATGTGAAAACATTGCAATTATAGAATAATTAGTTATGTCTACTTACCTGAATTGACATTCATCTCTATGAGCACTACCAAACCTTATTTTTCTTGAGAGTTTTCTACCCACCTTGTAGAGAATTATTTAGAAATTATGTGTGCTAATTTATTTTAATGAAATCACAAATTTATTATCCCTCAGGGTAGGTAGGGTTTGATAATAACACAATTTGCGCTTGCTAAGCATTTGCTGATTCTTTAATAGAGTCATAGGGATAAAGGGTTACGGACTAAACTTTCATTCACAGTATTTCACATGCATCAGGCGCTTTATATTTTAGTTAACTGGAAATCTTTTACTGGTATGGTAGATTTTATTATATGATCTTCGATCTGAAAAGAAGGTATATTTGGCAGGTGCTACAGGAAAAAAACATTCATATATGGGATGGCAATGCATCCAGAGAATACCTTGATGGGCAAGCATGATTATATGTTTTACCTTTGAAGTACAAATTGTGCCTTTTTTCCTTTATATTGCAGTTAGTAATTGGCTGTACATGTTTTATTATAGTGTTGGTTTGACAGAGAGGGAGGAGGGTGACTTGGGACCTGTTTATGGGTTTCAATGGAGGCACTTTGGTGCCAGGTAGGGGAATTATATATTATTTTTTCTGTAGGTATTACAATAGATTGTTTTATTTGGAATTTGCTCAAACATTTAGTTGCCGTCTGACCTTTTATAGATACACTGATATGCTGACTACTCCAGCCAAGGGTTTGATCAGATTTTACAATAGATTGTTTTATTTGTAATTTGCTGAAACATTTAGTCCCTGTCTTACCTTTCATAGATACACTGACATGCATGCTGACTACTCCGGCCAAGGGTTTGATCAGCTTTTGGATGTTATTAACAAGATAAAGCATAATCCTGATGATCGGCGAATCATTCTCTCTGCATGGAATCCAGCTGATCTTAAATTAATGGCACTTCCACCTTGCCACATGTTTGCACAGGTGTGCACCTTAATTCATTAGGTTTTTCTTTGAAAACTGTCCCCTCACATATATTGATATTTGTAATTTTATCTTCTGCAGTTTTATGTAGCACATGGGGAGTTATCATGTCAAATGTATCAGCGATCTGCTGACATGGGCCTGGGCGTTCCATTTAATATTGCATCTTATGCCCTACTGACATGCATGATTGCTCATGTTTGTGGTATGTAAATTGTCAAAGCATTCGTTGTAGACCTAAATATGTAGTCAATTGATAAAATGTTTTCAGGTTTTGTGGGTGTAATTAGTGATGATGTATACCATTTTATTTGGTTGTTTGACTTTAAGCTAGGTAATAGGTTGTGTGGTTCTCAAAGATTGGATGTTATGCACTGGCTGGGAAAGCCTGTTTTTTTTTCCTGTTTGCTAGAATCGGCACTAGAAGTTTAGCAAGTTTAGCTCAGGTGGTTTGTTTAGACTTGACAAGTCTTTTATATATCAATTTTGTTGGACTTTAGTTGTGTGTGGACATTTCCATTATAGTACCTGAGAAAATTTTGCATAATAGAGGCCAAAGTTTTTGTTTTTCTTGTTGGTATTCTATCTGTATTATAATTTTTCGGGTGTACGTAGGTTTAGGGTTTACAAGCTTATTGGTTTTGATAATATCACTAGAGAAAAAGTGCAGCTTAAAAGGTGATTATGTAAGATTACTAACCCTTTTACTGTGACTTGGTTTTTTCTCAGATCTAATTCCAGGTGAGTTTATCCATGTTATTGGGGATACACATGTTTATCGCAATCATGTGAGGCCTTTGCAGGAGCAGCTCCATAACCTTCCAAAACCCTTTCCAGTATGTCTATTGTTTAACACTTCTTTTAGTTTGTCTTTTGACTCTTTTTCCTTGTTGACTCCCTTAATGTACTTCGAAGCAGACTTTGAAGATAAATCCAAAGAAGAAAGATATAGATTCTTTTGTGGCTGCTGATTTCAAGCTCATAGGCTATGATCCTCACCAGAAGATTGATATGAAGCTGGCTGTCTAAAAGTGTGGGGTTTCTCACTTTCAGGCTGTTTCTGCTTTTTTAATTGAGGCAAGTACTTGCTTTTGGTTTAGTTTTTACACAGAACTCTACTGGTTTCTGTTATCATTATTATTTATATAAAAGGGCTTCAATAGAATGTTATTTGGTGCTTTCTTTGGCCTATGATCAGTAGTAGAACCATGGTAGCATGATGCTGAGGTGGTCTGCAAGATAGCTCTTAATTTATTGTCAACACCTTGTTGGCAAGCTAAATGACAGGTTCAGTACTGTTTAGGTTTTATAGCTAGTTTTGTAAATCTACATGATTTTGAATTTATTTAAAATCTTAATGCTATTTTGCATCACCCTTGTATAACGGAACTAAATTTCTAATAGTCGCGTGAAAAAGGATGGTTCAACTAACATGTAAGGATAGTGCAGAAGTAATTCCCTTCCATGACCTGTATCAGAGTCCGGTTTCAATAATCCAGCACTGCAGAGTCTTTAAATTAAAAGGGAGTAGGAAAATAAAATAGAATTTTGATTTAAATTATTACGCAGTAGTTTCAAAATTTTGATTTGGATTCTTTTGAACAAGTTTTAACTTAATGATTTAGTTAGAGTTGGCTTTACATAACTTGAATAGTTACGAAACATAAAGTAATTTGACACCAATTTCGATGCACATATCTTGCTCTGTAATGTAGCTGCTTTTCAGAGAATTTTAATAACCTTTGGATGTATATATATGTACTTCATTCTTTTAATGGACATTAGTCACACTGTTTTGGCATTTTCTTATCTGGCCTTTTATTTGCTTTTCTTGGATGTGATTCCTTGTGTTCTTCTCCTGTGTTTCAGGCATAACGATAGGAAGATTATGTTAAAAATTGTGTACTACTAAAGACGATCTCGTAGACACGTACTTAGCTCATATATTTGTGGGAATCCGTTGGGTCCATGTGTTACGACTGTAAGGTGATTTAGATTAATTTCAATTTCCATCCTTTCCAATGTACACGCTCCATTATAATTTTGAGGGATCGATTACTCGATGTTTTAGATAAACATTTTCCTATGTTTTATTATTCGAACTTTTGGACAAGCAGCTTCAGTGCTATTCAACAAGTTTTTTTTTTCGTAATAGCTTTGTCATAAATTTAACTATATACATTATGAAAATATTTTGACGACTTATTTTGAACAGGTATAGTAAAATTTATTGATATATTAAAAATGATTTATTAGAGTTATAAATTAGATTAAGATCAAACGAGCCTAGTATGAGTTTATTTTTTTCTTCAAACGTCTCGGTTATATTTTTTGTGGTCCTGTATGTACTTGTGACGTGACATCCTTTAATGTGCTTGTCAATTAATTGAGTGGAAGGTCCCTGAAGACAATTTATGCTGTGATGATATCTAATGTCACTTTTATTTAAAATAGTAGTCTGGATATTGGTCGCACATGGGTTTTGAAAAATTAATTAGTAATACACATATAATAATCAAATACCTAGTCATAATTATAATTTTTTGTGTAATTTTATAAATATAATGAACCATAACATACGAGTATTTGCAATCTATCAAAGTCACCATTGGAATATGAGGCATTCGTTTTCTTTTTGAATTGTAATTTATCTTAACATCTTTCTGAATATAAGCTTACCAAATATTCTTATTTTCCTTGCCATCTCATCTATTAAATGGATGTCATCATAAACAAACAATCAATTCGAACTGCTTTCGTTGTAAGTGAGCATACCATCAATTATTTTGGAATAAATTACGAATGTTAAAATTGAAAATAAGTAGGAACATAGGTAGCACAACATTAACTCGAATTTAGAAATAAAAATAAATCTTTATAAATATTGTATCACTAAAAATTATATTACAATGCATATTTCACTGTTTGAGAAGGTCAATTTGTGATTAAAAGACATGTTTATGAAATTGAGAGAAGTAAGCTATGGTATGCGAATGTGGATATTTTTTCTTACGTATGTGCTGACGTAAGAACTTTTGGACTGTAACGTTGCACTTGAAAGCCTCCGGTTGTTTAAAAGGCGATCCAGGAACCAAGTTCATCACTGTCGCACGAAATCATTACTCACCCACGCTTTCATCTTCTCCCTGCCACCCTGCGTAGCAATGGAAACAGTTCAATTTATTTTCGCTAATGGTGGAGCTGGAGAAGCAAGCTATGCAAACAATTCCTCCTTTCAAGTACCCATACTATCTAACTATATATTTTGCCCACACATTACTATCATCGTCGTTCCTTAAGAATTACGTTTTTTTTTTTTTTAATTTCATTAGTTTCGTGCAGAGTAAGATGATATCAAAAGTGAAACCCATCCTGGAAGAAAGTATGAAGTCCCTGTACTGCAACTCTGTCCCGAGCTGTTTCAGAGTGGCTGATCTGGGCTGTTCTTCGGGACCAAATGCACTTCAGGCGGCGTATGATGTTATCGATGTTGTTCATAACATAAGTCGCAGCTATAACCGTGAGCCACCCATCACATTCCAAATTTACCTGAACGATCAATTTCAAAACGATTTCAACAACATCTTTGAGGCCCTACCTTGCTTCTACGAGAGGCTACGAGAAGAAATGGGAGAGGGATTTGGTGCATGTTTCGTCAATGCAACACCCGGAAGCTTTTATGGGAGACTCTTCCCGACCAACTCCATGCACTTTTTTCACTCTTCCACCAGTCTCCATTGGCTCTCTCAGGTTATTTATCATCTTCAATTATTAATACGAACAAATAATTCATTCACATACACAGACTTTTAGTATTTGTTTTACAATGTTTCATTTGGCAACAGGCTCCGAAAGGATTGATTAACAAGGAAAACATTTACTTCACCAACACGAGCCCATGCACAGTGTACCAAGCTTACCTTGATCAGTTCAGTGAAGATTTCAATCTGTTTCTAAAATCACGAGCGGAGGAACTAGTGCATGGTGGTGGTATGGTTCTAACATTTGTTGGCAGAGATGAAACTTCCGACATAATCACTCCTTGGGGGTTGATTGGTTTGGTTCTCAATGACATGGTTTTGGAGGTACAACCTACAACCTACAACCTGTGGTTTGATTTTTTTTTTCTTATAAAATCATAAGTTTACGGACTGTTCATACTATGCAATGCAGAGTTTGATTGAAGAGGCAAAGTTAGAGTCCGTTAATATGCCAAGATATGGTCCTACTGCTGATGAAGTTAAGCAATTGATTGATGCAGAAGGGCGTTTTACTCTTGAAAAGTTGGAGACATTCAAGTCGAGATGGGATGAGGGCTTGAAAGAAAATGGTAACAGTGATATGGCTTTGGATGTAAATGTCAGAGCCAATTTCATAGCCAAATACGTGAGAGCTACTACCGAACCTTTTCTGACTTCACGGTTTGGAGAAGGTATAATCGATGAATTATTCCTTAGATTCGGAAAGAAGGTTGCCAAACTGTTGGAGGAACAAAAATTAGAGTATACTTATCTGGTCATCTTCATGACAAAAAAGTGAATGAGCAACGTAATTTAAGCTTAGTATCCAAAATTCACCTGACATGTTTACGTTCACCTTCTATCTCGTTTATCAAGTTTATATATAGTTTACGTTGCAGGGAGTCCACGTATAATATGAATTTTCCTGTGTCATCTGAAAGTTGAAGTTATCATGCCCCCCACAACTTCATCGCAATGTAATTGATTACGTTATACTGAAATCAGTAGGATGTAAGATGACTATCAATTTGCAATGACATTAATGATCATAGTGTTTGTAATAGATTACTAAGTAGATTTTTTCGTGTTACCTATTCTATGCAATGACGATTATCGGTTTATGTATATTAGTCTAAAACATATAACATATAACCATATCAAAATATCAATATATTATAATATTATCATAAAAACAAAGCATAATAATATATTAAAAAAGTATTAAAATATAAAATCTAATTAAAAATTTATAAAACAATTATAATATAACTATCTCTTCAGATACTTTAAAAATAGTATTCAAAATTTAAATTTTTTTTTAATACAATACAAAAAGGTAAATATTAATTTTTAATTTTTACCACAATTATTTAATATTATATATCATTAATTGAAATATATTATTTATAAAATTAAAATAATGATGATACATAAAATATAAAGTATTAAATATTTTATAAATATGATGATAAAATAACTAAACTATTTTTTAAAATTTAATAGACTAATATAGAAAAACAACCGATCCTAGTTTATAGTTAAGCAGAGACATAAAGGAGGAATTAAAAGTGGGATTTTAACACGAAAAATAAAGCATAAATCAAGTGGCTCCTACTTGCTACATTTGTCAATGAATAATTAAAAGCAAAAGCATAAGAGAAGAGAAATGAAAAATAAAAATCTATAGCCAGTGGCAGACAATACATGGTGGCACCTTCAGTTTGTATCATGGATTTGCTTTTTCAGTTTTCTAAATTTCATATTAATGCCACAGCGCTTTCACCTCCGATAATCTGTATTTCTAATTTTTGAAAATAGTTTTAAATATGAGATTTAAAAATAGTCTAAAATCTGTATTTGCTTTATCAGATTTCGAAATTTTTGAAAAGATTTTTCAAAAAATTTATCAGATTTAAAAATTCAATAAAAAATAAAAAATCCTTCATTAGATTTTGAAATGCAACGAAGCACACAAAATAATATATATGATTTTTTGAATTGTTAAAAACAGTTTTAAAATTTTAAGTGATTGAAGGTGCAGGATAAAAGAGTCTGCCTTATAAAACCAAAGCTTTCAAATAAATTAAAACATAATTGAATAAAACGGTTGTAATTTATGTATCCATTTTATAAAATAATTATATCTAATATTGCTTAACTCATATAAATAATTCATCCTAAAATTTATAAATATAAATACGAAGAAGATTAATAGAAGATAATATTTAATAAATATTAATTATTAGAAATGTTAAACCTTTATTAACTTTGATATGAAAATGTCTTCTGTAAAAAACTTTTAAAGTTTGATCGAACATACAACTAAAACAAATGGTAAGATGAAAACAAACTTTTAGACTTTCAAAATTACGGCAATCCAGTAACACGGCGACCTCGATTATATGACTGAAACAAAATTGAATTAGAAATCGGAAAATTTGAAAGAAAAAGTTAAATAAATGGATATATAATTATCAATTTCTCGAGTTAACATATAAAATCAACTTAAAAATTATATATTTAATTAAATGTATCAAAACTAATGATAATATGTTAGAATATTTATTTTTATGAATGATATAACTATAAATTTTATTTATTTAAAATTATATAATTTTATAAATTATCAATTTAAGAGTTTATTTCCTTTTGACTCGTGAGGTAAATTCTGGAACTTGATCACTTGGATGAAATATATTTTAAGATGAAAACAGTAATTTACTGAGTTTCCTTTAAGCTCTACATACATGTTATCTACACATCACATATTTAGTTTGTTTATTAATGTATAGTTTTCACTTTTCACCCAATAGTAGAACCAATATACAAACTTTTTTCTTAACCAAATGAACACTTTTATTCTTGCTTTCGTAGCCTCTGTTGCCGAGCAATGAAAGCCTCAATCTTCCGACGAAAGTCGTCGTTGCTCATCCCATCTTCAGGGTACGAATCAACGTTGCGAATCACTTTCTCAGTCTCACACCTCTGCAACACGCGCGGGGGTTTCTCATTCTCCACCACGCGCTCCACGATGTCCGATTGACATCTTCTGTAATCCTTACTCACCGTCTCCAAACTTGTCTCTGTTTTGGTGGGATCAATTTGTCGACCCTTTGTACCATCTTCCACTCTGACGCTAACCTTTGTTTTACGAGTGTTGCTGTGAACGATCAGTTTCGGTTTGACGGTGCTGTTTTGGAGAAACTCGAGATACAGATCGGGTTCTGGGGATGGTTTATCCGAAGCCTGATTTGAAAAGTGACCCGATTGGGCGAACAACGTTATGATTATGACGTTTCCGAGGAAAAACACAAAACGAGGACTACCCATGAAGTTGCGGAAATACTCGGTCGAGTTTCTGAGAGTGGATGGTAGGTTGATGGAGAGCCTCGAAACCAAGACCAGAACAACGCACATCTCGGCGTAACGCAACACGTTCGCGATCTTTCGGAGGTAACGATTATGTTTCCGAGGTTTTGCGGTTTTGTTTGTTTGGAGCTTCTGGAAATGCTTGGTGGAGGACTCCATTTGGTTGATCAAACGATTGATTCGGTCAATCAAAAGGGACCGATAATTTGTCAGGAGAATGCATCTGACACTGGATATTGATGGATACACCGACGGTTTCTAGAATTGGATGCATGGAAACAGATTGAAAGAACTCAATTTTTTACTGAATTTGGTGTATTGCATCTGCTTGGGACTTGTGTGATAACTCAAAACTGGTTTGGCTTTTCTTTGTTTATTTTTTTTAAATGGGTGCACTCAGTCTGATTTATAGAATCCAATCTAAGTGGGTGGAAAAATAAAAGTTTTAAAAAGAAAACAAAAAAGTTGTTCAATAAAATAAAAGAAAATAGACCGAATATGTTGTTATTGCTTTCACCTTTATCTGTCATTCCATTTTCTGCTTCTTCTTTTTTCTACTTTTTCTCTGTGCATTAAGCTAGATTAGTGGCATATATACTAACCACTAACCATTGATTAGTTGATGATTAGTTGAGAAAATATGAGTTGCAGTTTAGTCCCGAAAGAGAAGAGTATGGTCTTTCTACGGTGCTTCTCTCCTTTCAATAAATTATTCTTGCATTGCATTTAATAAAAGCATTCAAACTTGGTGCTGCAAAAGACTCCCTTAAGAAACTTTTACGAGAAAACAGTGTCGGTATTGTGGATATGGCTGTAGAAATAAAGCGAAATTAAGATGCACTTTTGAAAATTAAATAAAAATTTGTGATGGATTGATTGAAAAATTATGACACGATATTTTTTTTCTNCGCTTTCACCTCCGATAATCTGTATTTCTAATTTTTGAAAATAGTTTTAAATATGAGATTTAAAAATAGTCTAAAATCTGTATTTGCTTTATCAGATTTCGAAATTTTTGAAAAGATTTTTCAAAAAATTTATCAGATTTAAAAATTCAATAAAAAATAAAAAATCCTTCATTAGATTTTGAAATGCAACGAAGCACACAAAATAATATATATGATTTTTTGAATTGTTAAAAACAGTTTTAAAATTTTAAGTGATTGAAGGTGCAGGATAAAAGAGTCTGCCTTATAAAACCAAAGCTTTCAAATAAATTAAAACATAATTGAATAAAACGGTTGTAATTTATGTATCCATTTTATAAAATAATTATATCTAATATTGCTTAACTCATATAAATAATTCATCCTAAAATTTATAAATATAAATACGAAGAAGATTAATAGAAGATAATATTTAATAAATATTAATTATTAGAAATGTTAAACCTTTATTAACTTTGATATGAAAATGTCTTCTGTAAAAAACTTTTAAAGTTTGATCGAACATACAACTAAAACAAATGGTAAGATGAAAACAAACTTTTAGACTTTCAAAATTACGGCAATCCAGTAACACGGCGACCTCGATTATATGACTGAAACAAAATTGAATTAGAAATCGGAAAATTTGAAAGAAAAAGTTAAATAAATGGATATATAATTATCAATTTCTCGAGTTAACATATAAAATCAACTTAAAAATTATATATTTAATTAAATGTATCAAAACTAATGATAATATGTTAGAATATTTATTTTTATGAATGATATAACTATAAATTTTATTTATTTAAAATTATATAATTTTATAAATTATCAATTTAAGAGTTTATTTCCTTTTGACTCGTGAGGTAAATTCTGGAACTTGATCACTTGGATGAAATATATTTTAAGATGAAAACAGTAATTTACTGAGTTTCCTTTAAGCTCTACATACATGTTATCTACACATCACATATTTAGTTTGTTTATTAATGTATAGTTTTCACTTTTCACCCAATAGTAGAACCAATATACAAACTTTTTTCTTAACCAAATGAACACTTTTATTCTTGCTTTCGTAGCCTCTGTTGCCGAGCAATGAAAGCCTCAATCTTCCGACGAAAGTCGTCGTTGCTCATCCCATCTTCAGGGTACGAATCAACGTTGCGAATCACTTTCTCAGTCTCACACCTCTGCAACACGCGCGGGGGTTTCTCATTCTCCACCACGCGCTCCACGATGTCCGATTGACATCTTCTGTAATCCTTACTCACCGTCTCCAAACTTGTCTCTGTTTTGGTGGGATCAATTTGTCGACCCTTTGTACCATCTTCCACTCTGACGCTAACCTTTGTTTTACGAGTGTTGCTGTGAACGATCAGTTTCGGTTTGACGGTGCTGTTTTGGAGAAACTCGAGATACAGATCGGGTTCTGGGGATGGTTTATCCGAAGCCTGATTTGAAAAGTGACCCGATTGGGCGAACAACGTTATGATTATGACGTTTCCGAGGAAAAACACAAAACGAGGACTACCCATGAAGTTGCGGAAATACTCGGTCGAGTTTCTGAGAGTGGATGGTAGGTTGATGGAGAGCCTCGAAACCAAGACCAGAACAACGCACATCTCGGCGTAACGCAACACGTTCGCGATCTTTCGGAGGTAACGATTATGTTTCCGAGGTTTTGCG